AAAGGAATGAAATCATTTGGTTGCAGTATTTAAGTTATATACTTGGAATAGCTTCTTTTACTTATTATCGCCAATTTGAAATATCAATGTGCTTTATTTTCTAAAATGATATCATTGTCGTATAAATTGTCCAGCTTAGTAAGAAAATGGTACTGTAAGATTATTCAATAACAATAATGTGAGTCCAAGAAATATTCATATAAGTGAATTATATATGGAAATTTTCACTGAAATTCAGGTGTACAACAAACTTCGTTATATGCATTAACCTTACCAATTGCTATAATATGGACAGAAAAATATATCAGGAAAACTACGGAAAAAAATTGCCAGAAGGCTATGGAATTTACAGGCCCAGAAGCAGCTCATCATTACTTTGTATGTATTTTGATGTATTTTTGCACTTAATTTTTAGAAGTTATGTTAGAAAAAATCATGCGACACATCTTCATTTAAAAACTTCTGCCAAATAATGAGCTAAGATGGTAAAAATAAATTCCAATTTTCTTTCTTCTTTTAATTACGAGTGAAACCGTTGTTTATCACAATAATTATTCGACAAGATTAATTTGGACGATTATTTAAATATTTCTTCTCATGATAAGGATTGCTATAGAAAGTTAACTAAAGAAATTACCTTTCTTGTAAACATTCCTATGAATATATCAAACGAATAAGATTTCGCAATTAATTTTCAAAATTATAATTTTTATTTTTCAGACAATTTTCAAAACACCTGCAGGAAACAATGCTTAGAAATTGCAGTGACCACTTGGGCAGCATTAACAGTGCCCAACAATTGGCTAATTGAAAGGAGAAAAACGTCGCAAACTACAAGTCAAGTAAATCTGAAAACGGTATGTAAAGGAAATGTTGAAGAAATAAAAAATGTCACTGATCTGATTGGTAGCACATATTTGCATAATTAGAAATATTTTCATTTGAAAACATAATAAATTTATGATAAAACATAATATTGAGGTTATTATATAACAAAATGACTTCATTGCAAAAGTTATTATCAAGTGTCATAAGAGCAAAGGTATGAATGCTTTGACATTTTTATTTGATTGCAGCCACCAAAATTCAGCCTTATTCATGTATGGATTTAAAAGAACAAATCATAGATGATGGAAAGTTGATCGATTGACTGTTTTGCTTTAGAGTTATTTAATTCTTTAATTGGTGAACAGTGACAAGTTTGTCGTTTATTTTAATAATGTTACCAAAGATTGTTTTTGTTGTTTGAGCAATGAATTAACACTAGCCTCACTAACTTCCCGGAAATGAACTTCAGATACAACTCTGAGATACTACTGGAAAGAATCACAATTTGATCCAGTATGACAAAATATTGGTAGATGGATCCCCGTCCCCTCATTTATTGCTTGTCGATCTGTAATCACTTGAGTCCTATTGTTGGTCCACTGATACCTTCGTCTCATCGTATAATTAATTAACTCCTTTACTGATTTTTTCCTATCCAATGGGTTATCAGTAGTTGCTGGGTGAGGATACCATTGCTATATTTCAAGTGATAATTAACTGCGAGGAACATAAAAAAGAATTGTTATATTTCAAGTGATAGCTAAATGTAAAAAAAATAAAACAAAATGAGTTATGGAAAATCGACCAGACAAAATGATGCAATCATGAAAGTAAAATTAATTTGATGAGGAGGATATATGTTAACAATGAAAAAACGTCACAAAGAAATTTTAGTACTGATATACGATTGCACTATGGACCATGCCAAGAGGCTTCTATATCTTTATGATAACCCCGATAGAGCTTACTAAAGTTCCTCTTCTAATCCTAGATATATATATATATGGAGAAAAAAATCCCACAGGAAAGTTTTCCCTGTTAAACATGCATTACATCATCCTCCACACTTATCCGCCAACACTTCGACCAATAACTAACTCTCATCCTTCCTGCCTTTACAATTTGATACCCTGCAGCATATGTCCAACTCAACGAGGGACGAACTCTTATATCTCAATTATTACGAAATCTATTAACGAATCGATAATTTATGAACAACCATTATCCAAGGCAACGAAAAGGAATTCGTTAAAGATCGTTTTTGATCAAAGCTTGTTGTATAACTCATTTCTGTCCTTGCTTGTCAGAAAACCCGAGAAAATTTATAACATGTTAAAACAATTGAAGTATGCGTATCACAAATTTGTATCGTAAATATTGTCTTATATAGATCATTTTCCCGATAAGTAATTCATTATACAAAAATTTAAATTATTCTTCCAACGTATTAAATGCTGAATTATTTATGCAGTTTCCGTAACATTGTGATTATCACTTTGATAACCTTTAGTTAGTAACTGGTCTGAAACCTACATTGATGGATATATTGTAACAGTATTTAATTTGATAATCGTACTTATATCCAATGCTACATGTCTAAACTTCTGTTAAACATCACATTTCTTTGTCTGAGAACTAATTTTTCATGTAATGCATTAACTTTGTAAACCACACCCACAATATAAGGAATTTTCAAATCAATCTTTTTGTACAAGCTCCGACGATTGACAGTCTCCTCATTTCCAGTTCCAGTTTATCTTCAGTTATCTCCAATTCAACACGCAATTCTCCCCGCTCCTTCCACCAGTAATGAACTTATCCATAACTGTTTATTATTTTCTGTATCCGTTAATAAACTGTTACCGTCATCAGTAAACTTTTACCAACATCTTACATTCGTGTCAAACAACACGAACTTCAATGTCAGTCTCTTTCAAACCAGATAAAGCATAATTTTGGTGCCTGAAGTGAGGTAATGTCCGGTAGTGTAATTGCAGGTACAAAAATGAGACTCTTCAATGAAATGGAACGAATAGATCTAACATTATTCGATCAAAATGAAATGAATATTGGCCTTCTCGAAACACTTACTAAAAAATGATGGAATATATCCAACAAATCACGGTCCGAATAGAAGAAAGAAGTATCCAGAAATGGTTTTTGTCAATTTTGATCAGGGTGTTATCGATCTGACGTACTGATTACTGTCAAAAATCACTGATCATATTGCACGCTAGCGAATAACAAAAAAATTTCATTCAGGTATTTTGGCTTAGGCTTAGGCAACATATTCAGTGATTTTTGACAGCAACCAACTTGTCAGGTAAATAACACACTGATCAAAAACGGCAAAACCTTTTGATTACAACTCATTGCTTGTGCATGAATGTTTAAATGTTTTCGGTTGTTTGCTATAGCTTGCTGCGGTCAACTTTGGTCTTACAAGTATCTAAATACTTTTTTAAAATCATAAAATCTGACGGGAAGGTGATTTGCTGCTCAAAACGGTTCAGTAACAAAATATGCATTTCCCTTTTAGTATGCACATTCCCCTTTACGCAAAAGAAAAATTTTTGTGGTTTTTTTTTTTGGATTTCCTTGCATAGATGTTTATTTAACAGAAATTGTAATTAACAGTAGCAATTTATATGATTTTTGCTATTAAATTTATTTTTTTATGACGTTATAATGTACATATTTGTAAATTTTTGGCTGAATTCAATTTTTCTGTACTTCAATTTTCAGTTTCTCGAAATGTAAAAAAAAAGATTTATTAAGATTGTCTATAGAATTGGTGGACTAGACTGATTTAAATAATTGTATTGTTTGGCCGGATAGATGAGGGAGAGGAGCGGGGCGGATAGATAGTTCAAAGTTTTGAGAAAACTGCGTTTCAGCTTATTTTTGACCAACATTATATAAAGCAAATATAAAATGTATGAGATTATTCATCGTTCTGATTCAAAATGTGTAAAGAAATTTAAGCAAACGTTTCTTTCAATGGAATTACTCTGATTAATCTCAAAACAACTATTGCTGTAGAAAGATCATTATTAAAATTGTATAAATGTCCACTTCTACCCTTTAATCAAATTTTTTTTGTTGAAATTCAAATTGTATCGCACAATGCTGCAACTTCCATCGGTTTTGGAAGCAATGAAATTGCCAAAAACAAAAATATTTCCGGTATTAAGCATTGAACTCAGTGTTTTGCGAAAAATTTTACGTAAAATATAGTGAAGCTAACACTTCCGGGAACATTTTATCGACCTGTTTTTGTTGCAGAATTGAACCGAATAATTTATAAACCCTTTTTTTTTCTCATTCTACCTTTACGTTATGTCTTTTTCGCTAATTTTCTTCTACCTAAAAAGGTGTAAAAAAAGACAAGAAAATTTTGTTCAAATCTATTTACTACCACTTTTATACATCATTGTTTTCCTTGCAATTTTCAATTGTAGTATTATTATCGCATAGGCCTCATTCAAGCTTTAGATCTCAATTTATTTTTGGACTTCGTTTTATTGTTAATCCCAGTACTTCGCTAGTAGCATGTATCAGTGTGATTAATTTCATACTTCGAAATATGTACCTGAAAATTTCATAGCAACATCGGTCGCTGTTATAAATAAAAAAACAAACATAATGTTTGAATTGTGCTTCTAAAGAAACAATTATGCACTGTTATTACTGGCTTCCAATTCAGTTTTCCAGCATGTGACACCTTAATCGACTTCAGCAGTGTCAGAAAAAACCGCTGAGTCGGCTTCTCTACAACAAGCTGTCATCAGCCAGATATTGTCAGTAATTGAATTGCAACATTTCATGCGTAGTAAGTTGGCAAATTGAGAACTTTTCGCTCCAAATTCATTAGGAAAAGATTAAAATTGAAAGTTTAAAGGATGTCTTTTGAAAAATTGATTGGAACTGAAAACGACCGGTTGTGGTTCATTGCAATTCCTTTTTGCCGTATTTTCAATCCATCAGCAACAGCAAAGGCAATAACGCCACTACTTTGGCAGCAATTAAATATGCAGAGCACCGTATTCCAGTTATATTTTCAACTTCATATTTCTGTATCGTTTCACAGTTTCTTATTTTACATCTCAGCACTGCTTCGCCCATTTTTATACTTTTTTTAAATTAAGTTTATCTTTCCTTTTCCCTTTCTTATTCCTATTGCATAATTTGAAATTCCTTTTTTTTTTCTAAATCGGTCTTATAATTAATTCTGAGTTTCTGAATTATTAGTTCGCACCACAGAATCTCTTAAGGAGTTTTGTGACTGAATGAGTAGCTTGAACTGGGAAGACCAAATTTCAGGATCCAATTAATTCCTCCAAATTATTCATTACGATGCAATCTCAAGTCACATAGGAAGAGGTAAGCACGATTTGTAGCAAGTGAATGATTAACAGTGAGTGACTTATGGGACACAGCGATGACCCATCGTAAGGTGCATCCGTTTAATTAGCTTTGTTGGTCAGAATATTATCTGTGACAGACGAGCTGAACTTCTAGAGCAAGATATTCTTCTTGCAAAGGCGACAAAACAAATGTAAACTTAGATTTCGAGAAAATCGACAAAAAATAGAATGAAATCTTTATTTCAAAACATTCCTACCAATTTATTCTAATACAACAATCCCTTTCAGTTTCAAAATTTAATTACAAATATTATTCCACTCAACATCAAATCTTGTTATAAATCTGGAAGACTCAGCTAATTTTATTTAAATATGTATATCAAGAAAGCAGAGAGGACCGGAACCCCTGAAATCGTCTATATGAATGTTATACTTCTCAAAAGGATGATCTTGTTGAAATGTTAGCTTTCAGTAAACTATTAACGGACCATACATATCCAACTGACTTAACAACATCTATACATTTGATGTAAATAATGTTCAATTTAAATTTAAGCAAGCTTATGCGTCAAAAAATTGCTTAAATGATTCTGCAAATATGTCATCAAAAACATTCCATGGATTATGCGCACATGCACTAAAATTCAGAAAAAAAATTACGGACCAGAAGGAAAAGTATAAGAACAAATTATCAAATGGAAAAAACTTCGCTATCATTCAGTTCATTGCCATGATTGATGATTAACAAATTATTTCGACAAGTTGGCTTTTGTTTGAATTTCAATTCCACTTTAAATTTATGCTTACCAATGCTATTTGATGTTGACTGCAACGGCTGATCTATCTTTGACAAAATTCAAATTCATTTACCTCTAACTGCATAGGATAATTGACATACTTTCTATACAAATGCCAAAAAATTTCAAATTCTAAAATATACGGAAGAAAAATTAATAAAATAAATGTGAGAAATTATATTTTGCCACTGAGAAGGGAAATGCAACTCTATAAGCATTTAGTTAACACAAATTCGAACGCATATGATATGAATATGGAATAGGGAGGAGAATTAAACGTCGAAAGAAAAGTTTTAATAGCATGGAAATAAATTTTAGACATCAGAAATCAGTGGTGAAAAAGTGACTTAAAGGAAAACAAAGAAGTGAATGGGAATATCACAATATCAACAGATTCGTTGGCTATTATTGGATTAACAAAGCACAACCAAACAAATAATTTAAAAATAAAACAAAAAAGAAACACCACAACCATCATTTGAACATATTTCACTGGAAGAATACATTTAAAAATTGTTCGAACGTTTGTAACAGCAAAGAAATGTTAAAAAGACAATTATTTTTGCTATTTTTACTCAGTTATTTATTTCTGCAATTTGGTTACACTCAAATGCAAACTTTTTGTGATTTTTGTTATATTAGTCCTACGATATTAATAGCTAACAGCAGTATTCGGTGATTCACATTGCATGCTTCTTCTATATGATTTATAACTACTTTATAAAGTAGCAATGATCTAAAACATTATCATCTACGAAACATACCAGTACTATCAAAAGTACATTCACTTTCTGCAAAGAGAACATTTTTCCTCACCGATCTATTGACTAAGTCATACTGGTTTCATACTTCGTTATAACTCTTAAGAATGTTCATTTCTACAAAAAATATACAAAAGAAAATTGGCAAATCATTCTTACACAATAGAAATACAAGAAGGAAATTGTTTCGCTCAACATTTAAGCTAATTTCCGGTAGATCTGAAAAATAAGGACCCGTCTCAATGCTGATATTTCCAAAAACTTATTATTGAATGAATTTTGGATAAAATGGAAACAGCTATCAAACACCACCATCAAGTAGTTGGACAACTTATTTTAGCATCATCTGCTTAACAGAATCAGGGAAAATAAAGCTACAAACAGATGACAACAGTGATGATTCACGATCTGAAAACATGCAGACGTTGCGCAGCAGAATTAAAGAAAATCAAAGTTCAACCATTCCGTGATTTAATAAGGAAGAAAACATATCGTATCTCCATTTCTACTACTGTTCTCGCTGCATATATTAATCCAATTCTCTATATCCTCCTAACCTCCATTTCTGATTCATATCATTATGTAAACACGTGCTTAATTGCAATGTGGATTCGTTTGCTTGCAAACACAGGCCTGTTTCCCGATGTTTCAGCATAAGTGTCTGAAATCCTTCCTTTTTAATAATTTTTTAATAACCTTGCCAAATATCTAAAGTGAATAATGAAATTACAGGTTCCTCCTGGAATCCTATTTGTGATAATTCTTGCATTGCTTAAGAAATGCAAGAATTATTACACATAACACTTTAAATCAGCAAAAATTTACAAACTAAATGTTATAGGAATTACTTAGAACTTACTTTCTTCACATATTCAAAGGTCACTTTCGACAGTAGCACCCAGTCAGCACATTTTTCCATGCTAATACCTTTTACTGTAAAGGCTAAGCAAAGTTCATCAGCGCGGATTTCACCTTTTCCAGTGTAAGCCCATAACTATAACAAAACTATAATTACGTTAATATAAACATTTTTTGAGCGTCAGCAGCCAAATCCACAAATAAAATATTTGACGAAACTGTCAAAAGTTAAATCCCCATCTCCTTAATACTTATATTCTTATTTTGTAATGTTAACCACATCTCAAATGATAGTTTAGAATCAGCATTTTATAAACATATCTTGTGAAATAAGATCTTAGCTCAAGAAACTATAATATTTTCTTATTTAAATAGAGAGAATCATAAAGATTTAACACATGAACCTAACGTTCAAAACACGACTAATAATGAACACGGTAATCGTGAGCCAAATGGAAAGATTTACTTATTCATTGCCTTTCAAATGATATCTTGCAAACCTGATTACCACCTTTGCCGTGGCAGGGAAGTATTGCAGGAGAATCACCGGCTGATCGACCTGCTGTATCCAGACATCCCACTACTCCCATATTTTGTATCTGTAACAAAATCTTGCTAGTCACGGTACTGTTTTCAAAAAGAATGACGACATTTGATATATCGGTGATAGCGAAATAGTGACATATGGAACGATATCTATGCAAAGAAATGTCTCCTTCAATCACTTTTATCTTATTTCTGGAAAATACCATTTTTGTAGCAGAATAACTGGTTGATCGATCTTATTTCAAGAAAATATCATTAACTATCTTCTAGAAGAAATCTATCTTATTTCCAGAAAATTTGTCTTATTTCTTGAAAATAGCATTGATGAAGTCAATATTAGTGAAGTCAGTAAAATACCATTAACGAAAAGTAAAAGCATTGAGTAACTGAAAAATTGTGCAAATTTTGACAAAACTGACCGATAATTAAATAAATATGAACGGTTCGCCAAAGTAAAAAGTGAAAAAAGGTCCACAATAAAAAGTACCTGTCCTAAACTAAGAAAGTCGATTGGAATGGGTGATTCCGGATAAATTGTTTCCAGATACCACCGAAAACTTTTACATTGCAAATTTTCGCGCAAAACTTTTCTTTCTGTTAAATCTCCAATATCGACATTTTTGGCAGCTAAAATTGACCGATGATAAACTGACAAAAGCAAAAAATATTTGCAGAATAAGCTTTCTACATTTGAAGTTGGATCCAAGTAAAAACAAAAAAATAAATAAATGAATAAAATATAATAAAATAAAAAGAATGCGTTTTTAACCAATTTATTTGAGCATTCATTTAGTTGACATTCTGAAGAAAAAAAGAACAATATAAATGAAAAAATTAACACGGAGATTTTGCGACCCATTTTAGTTTAGAATTTGAATTCGAAAAGGCAAATCCGAAGTTCATAGCATCACTAAAAGCTCATGAAATCATTAAAAAGATTATCTAATAAAATTTTAACCCTCGGCAAATATTTAGTAATCGAAAAAAATCTAGTAATTATGCAAAACATACCAGGCACCATTTTATAAAATATATCCTTATATTCATCCATCCAAACCTCAGCAGTGCGGGCGGCATTACGATGTATAACATTCGCTGTACCACCGGGAAATGAATACGGAGTATGTTTTCGGAATACATGGCCAACTCGAGAACATGGATGAATCTCCAAACTACCGCCACACATCCATACCTGAAAAAAGAAAACATAAAGACTTTATCCCTCAAATTATACTTTGACTTTAAAGACATTTTTGGAAGCTTCTTGGCAAATAACTTTTCAATCTTGTTGAATTATATGAAAAAGTCAATAATTCCATATTATTATAATTTATTTGGTATCATAAAATGTTTGAAAACAAAAAAAAGAATTTTGAAAAACAATCAAAACCGGTTAAAGTAACCATCAAAAGATGGTCTAAAAATTTGAAATTCATTGAATATAAAAATTACCCTAAATGAAATTTCCAAATTTTCACCACCCCAAACTTCCATTCCTTCATCGTAGGAACCGATATCATAAAAAAATTGGCGATCGATAGCAAACAAACCACCAGCAATTGTAGGCGTCCTAAATTAATTAAAAGTTTAGGTTTGTTAGAATTATAACGTCGTTGATAGCAAAAATTTCACACTTCAAACTGAAAACAAAACAGGAAAAAAGTGATGAAATGATTACTGAAGAGGAACCGAACGGTCGTGATTGCGCCGTTCCATTTCTCGCATTGGTACCTATAAAATAAATGTGTAATAAAATACTGAAATTACAATTATGCAAATAACTTCGAAAAATCTTGAATTTTTGGGATTTTGTTTTATACTTGATTCACTACACCAGCTACAGAAAAAAAATAAGAAAGATTAAGAAATGACACTTACTGGGTACCACCGAAAGTTAAGATGCCAATTGAAACCGCCCCAAGTAATATCAGAAGCAGTTATGTATTCAAAATTTTCATCGGAAATGACATCGATAATTGGTGCCACAACACGTTTTCGATCGACTGATACTCGGTCCAGCAAAGGTTCTAACCATCCTTCCGTTACTTCAACATGCGCATCAAGAAACAACAGAACCTAAAAATTGAAATTCGATAAAATGATGTTAGAAATCTAACAATTAAATAAGAAATACTACAATAACCCTTCACATTCATTGCCACAATAATACTAACTCTTTTGAACTACGCAACTGAAGGATTACAATATCCATCAATAAATTCAACAACATACTAAAAATTATTATTAAAAACTTTCAAGCCTTTGCGGAATATCTGTAAACTATTAAAATAGAGATCTGTTTTTAAGGTTATGTTTTTAAGGTTTTTTTTCGTAAAAACAAGAGCTTCCTTGCTGGAAAGATTCACTTATATGTACCTTTCCTTTTGCTATCTTTGCACCTTGTAAACGCGCTCGGATAAGTCCTGATCGTTCTGGTAGATGAATGAGATGGAAAGGGAGTGAAAATCTTTTGATGTACAGATCAAGAGGACTCCGTAAATATGCTGAAATTTGATAAGTAATCCATGAAATTCAGTAGATCAGCTTTCAGAAATAAGTTTAAACCTTGAAAAAATAAACGGTCTATCCCAATGATACGACCATACCATCATCTGTTTTCGATATTATGAAGGTACAATCATTTCATCCATCCATCCGCTACTACCTAATTTTAGTGATTTCAGTTCTCACCAGTCTAAACAACTAACACTATGAACAGTAAAAGCAAGCAACTAACTTCGGTTTGACAAGTCATCGATAAGAATAACTTCTTTGATTAGATGAAGCGGACTTCGATTTATAACAGAGTGTATTGTACGCAGAAGTGTACTCCATGCTTCGTTATGAAAAACAATTATTATGGATACCGTGGGTAAACTGGTTATATCATATTTTCGTGCAGCTTCGCGACATCTGAATTAGCACAAATCAATTTGTAGATTCGAAATTTCATTGATCACAACCAATTAGAAGACCTAATCAGTCATTAATTATTGCCACAAAGACAGCTGTCGATTAGAAGCTTCCAAACAATTCATTTTCCTGTTACAAATAGAATTAAACTTGTAGTTAGCATTAAAGAATTTCAGCATGAATTCTGATGGTGTCAAGAAGTTTATAACCGTGACGACGTAATCCCTGCCGCTATAAAATGACATCATTAATTTGATATGATAACTAACTTTGATGATCGATAATCAGGAAGTGCCCTGTTGATAGATATCAGATCTGAAGCCATAACATCAAATTGGTTTTCATTAAACTTCTTTTTCCGTTCCTCTTGCTGTGATGGATCAATGATCACTGCACTACCCATTTCACCCGGTCCATTTCTCTCGAATGTTAGACCTTAACAAAAATTTTTCGAAATATTTTCCGGAAATGTTCGTGACATAATTCATGCAAAATGATTCGCAACGAGTTATATATGGAAAGATAAAATGATGTACGATTATTCACTAAATAATTTAGAAAGAAAAGAAAATATTTTGCTATTTTGCTAAGATAATGAACAAATATATTGTCAAGGAAAATAAACAAACTTTTTAGCAATATTTCCAACTCTTCCACAGCTTCACGATCAATAAAATCATTTGATTGTGCCCTAAAGTCATCCTCCGAACGGCGATCACCCCTTAACTTTACCGCAACTCTGAAACAAAATCAAACAAGAAAAGCAAATATTGACAAAATTTTACATAATCGTATCAACGACAGTTGGCTCTCAAATATAGACTATCTGTAAGTATGAATTTTAGTTTTGATATTGAATATGAGAAATTCTCGAAATTGTAAGAAGGATGAATTTGGTAATGTTCAAGAAACTATTATCAAAAGAATCAGTTAGACAGGTTGCCTAACAATATCGATAACAGTTTAAAGTGAAAACAAACACTACGATCATTCAACAAACAGATCGTTTTTGGCTGCTTAAAAAAGTTCATGAATGAAATGGTTGCTTCAAAACAATTTAAAATAGCTTTAATAATGACTGAAAGTTAATAAGTAAGTTGTTAATTAGTAATGCTTCAAGAATAGTGATAAATAAGCTACCTTAGGGAAGAACTGAATAAAAGAAAGAAATAAAATAGGACTTACTTTGAAGCTATTCTGCCACTGCCGGTATCAAGGAAGTAAAATAATATGACGACATCAATCATCATCCATACTAGAGAAGTTAGCACGATCGCACGACATACGTCAACCCGTAACCGCATCTGTTTCAATCTCAACAAAAAAAAAGAAAAAAAAACGAAGAATCAATGATGGCTAAGAAGAATTTTTTGCAGAAAAATAATCTTACTAGAACTGGAAATGCAAAATTCTGGAAATTAAAATTAAAACCAATTTTAAAATTGTGACGCAATGAAATATCGAAGATTCAAGATACAAGGAAAACACACACGTATACATATATACACACATACACACACACGGACACAGACACAGACACAGACACACACACACCTGTCTTACCTCCCCACTTCTAATGATTTGTAAAACTCGACAAATATTTGTCATCTACGATAAGACCGGCGTGATAATTATCATCACCATCATTACTTATTGAAATTGAACAACATGCTTATTCATCAAGAGAATTGTTCATGAGTATTTCATTGACACTGGTGTTATTAATATTCGAACAATGTATAATTAACTGAATGTATAATTACTTATCACCATCATCATCATCATCATCATCATCACTATCATCATCATCATTATCACCATTATCATCATCATCATTATCATCATCATTACCATCATCATCATTATCATCATGTTGTCGTTTCCAATTTACATTTCATCAGATAGATATCGGAATTATGATTATTTATAAATCAATACGCACATATTTCCCTCTAGCAAAATATTAGCATGTAATTAATTAATAGCACAATTTCGAATAATTTGTTCCGTTTAGTTTTAAAATAAACCAAAATCAATTTTTGTAAATATTTCTTTGACACTGATATTATTAATATCCAAACAACATATAATTAATTGAATTAGTTTGTCGAAAATCTTCTTGAACTCTTAATCTATTAATTCTGGTCGATTTTACTTTGAAAGAAAATTGTCACTTCCTTTGACATATTAAAATCATCAATTCCTTTTGTTGATTCCACTTGCTAAAATCTTCAAATTTTATTTCCTTTCTTTACTGAAAAAATTTTTTTTTGCTTTTTTAGGCAAAATAAAAAAAATGAGTAACAGGAATATGTGAGTGACAGTATGAATAGCAAAGAAGAGTAATTTGACATGATGAATATACGAAAGATATGATGAAGTGGAGCAGAGCACAATCCTAAAATGAAACTAATTCATCTTTATTCTAACAACCAACTATCCTAGCTATTTATTACAATTCAGGCTTTTCTCTCATAAAGTTGGCGGTAATCTTTGGTCAACAGCAATGCAAAAGAAAAAGGCAACATATTTGGATCTTTTAAGCAAAAATTACAAAAGCAAATATTGTTTTAAAGAAAGTTCATGGAAATTAAATGCAAAATTTAAGTACTATAATTAGTAGGACCATTAATTAGTGGATGATATTGATGGGAACGAATTTATCATTGTTGGCCATATCGTTGATGCATTTTATTCACAGGTTAAACTTAACTTTATCATCAATGTTTTTAGGAAAAGTGGATGTATAGGAAAACATCAAAGGTTCATTTATTTCATTTCCATTAATTCCGTTTTGAACTGGAAAATTAAGAAGAACGGCAAAAGTTTTTGAACCGCAAAATTTATGAAAGATTAGGAAATGCTGAAGGAAAACACGAAATACCATTGTTTACAACTACGCTTAGCTAAACTTATTGGAGAGTTTGTAATTATGAAAAAAAAGTGTGTCCGCTAATTACGCTATCAAAATTTCAGTGCAAGAGTTGAATAATTAACTAGCTGATTCACAGAGACCTTATATACATACATTTTTTTTTAGACGTTTCTCCTAAAGCATTATCCGGAAGAAATTTTAAAAAAGGATACTAGAATATATTTTCCGATACTGCTGTTATCGTAATGAACTATGAGAATGTATGATATTAATGTTATCAAATGTTAAGGTACAAATTAATCCCTTCCAAGTTTCCCAGCATAGGAATGAGTTAGAATATTCTATTCATCAATTACTGATTATTTTATAAATGAATTCAACAAGATTTGATGAGAGATATTCAATAAGTTGAAATTATTTCAAGAAGTGTTACATATCTTTTTCGGATTAAAAACAGAATATTTTAGCAAAAAGAGTTAAAACTTGGAATGGTATCATTCATTGTATCATTGAAAATAAAAGCAATAAGTGATAAATTTGTTGCTAGACAAATAAGAAAAGTTGGGAAAATCGAACGGAAAATTTAATTCTTGCTATTTATCGTAATTCTAAGTTGAAAAAAAAAAGCACAAATGCACACATACAGAGAGAGAGGGTTGATCAATACCTAAATGACATTAGTTTCACATAACACTAATTATATAACAGTATGACAATGAATAAAACAATTAAAATACTTTGTTTTTCGATGATGGATGTTAGCCTCAGATAAACTTCTTACTCAATTTTTACTCATCACTCAATTTTGAGTAATCATATTGCTAAAATTGTTTAAATTTGAAGATTATAATGCAAAATTGAGATGTAATCGATGGATAAATGGATGAGGGAAAAAGTCATAAAATAAAAAAAAAAATGAAAATAATCACATAAATATGTTGCAATTCCTTTTAAGTATCAAATTAATGCATAGAACGAAAATAAAAAGCGCCAATTACATTGATCATAAAAAGCAATAATACAATATGAAACTGATAAATTGAATTTTTTCATTTGCAGAAAACAGATGTATGATTTATGTAAACATTATGGTGTACTAATCGAAAAAGTCGATAAAACACTGTGAACAAATTTTAACAAATTATCCATAAATTAAAGATGGATACAATTCATACGTATGATATGCTAGGTATTTTAACTCCTTCTATCAAAAATTGAAATTCAAGAAATGATCTAAGCATTTTCTGATAAGTCCTTCAAATGTAATTACATGCTATTAACTTTATTATTGTTCTATACCTGTCATTATTGAAAAAAGTTTTTCTAACCCGAGTATATTAACATAACATCTTTCTCTTCATTATTTCTTTACTACTCTCCCCAAATTATTATTGCACAGTCCTATTAATAAATATAAAATGAAGCACAGCATAGAAATAACCGGTTTGATTTCGAGAAAAATCGAACAGTTACTGAAGAGAAAGAGAACAAAGTTATTTATGGAAAGAAGAATGGTAGGCACACTGTATGAGCTATTGCAAATTTTAAAACAAAAAGTTATCACAAAGAAACATACATTGTACAAGAAGTGTATGAACTAGTCGTGAATAACTGAACAAAATTTTTTGACTTGTAATTAATCATCCGGCATCATCATTTCCAAATGTCTTCTAATGTATGATACGACGTTGAGGGATAAACTTAACTAACTTAAAATTTTGAAATTTAAACAAAAAACCAAAATAGTCTGTAATGTCGAAAAGTGAATCCCTCCACAAAAGAAAAATAAATAAATAGATAAGTAAAGATATCGTCATTGATTTTGCCAAATAAGAAAAAAAAGTGATGGAGAAAAGAATAGTAAACGCTATCTGTAAAATTACCATTTCCAAGAAATTTACCTAATATGATTCCTGAAATTTCGAGACTAAACCTATCCATGCATGTATCCATAAAAGTACAGAATAAATAACAACAGGCATATTATTTCCATCTATTGAAAAGGCTATTCATAAATGAAGTCATTCCATCCACTGAATTGAAGATTAAAAAAATTGAAAATCTGGAAGTAGAAAGAATTGGAAATTTTATCCTATTCCTTTCGAATCAAACTGAAACGATTAAATGAAAAGATCGAATGGTCGAATATGGTAATTTCGCATCTATGCCAAATCAAAAAGAATGTAGCAAAAATTCTTGGAGACCTTTTTTCTTCAAATCTTCTGAGACTAGACCAAGTATGAGTGTTGAAAATCATTCATCTGTACAATACAAAAAATCACTTTAAACTATAAAACAGTCTCGACAGTTACATGTATAGCTGTTACTTAATATATAATGAGAATAAAATAGTGTATTTTCTGCAAGCAATATATTATCGACACAAAAGCAATTCTCATAACTTGTTGAAATTAGATCCATGTCAATTTCATTTCTTTTTAATGATTCCTTGTAGTTATCGCATTTAATAAGTAAAATAAAGAAACTAACCAGAACAAAAAAGGAACGCAATAAAATGCGAAATAAGACTTTTAAAGTAGTTTTATAACTATTGTTCCCTACTGAATTGTACATATTGATTATACTGACAGGACATCATACAACCTTAACCTTCTCTATTCATTTCTATATCACAGAGAAATTATTGCTCCGCATTTATAATTCTCATAGAGAAGACAGAGAGAGAAAATGAATCAACATGTTAATTCGTACTAAGAGCAAATGTATGTTAAGCATATCTCATCTGAATTGTATGTAAACAAAGAATTGGTTACTGTAATCATTAAGTTTGCAAAATTTCGCCACGTACTACCAAAAATTAAATCCTCTGAAATCTTCGAAATTTTTTAAAACTAACCTCAGCAGTGAAAAGAATATTTCAGTCAATTGGATTATTAAATATACTCCAAAAAAAAGGAAATCTGAAAAAAAGATCTAAAATTTATGCTTCAAATTAAAGCTTAATTTTTAGAACCAAAAATACGAAGAAAGTGTAAAATCAATGTCAAATATATGCTAATAGGACGATGAACAGTTGCATGTATAGAGGAATTATCATTGATTAACATTGAGACATAACCTTGTTCAATTATTATTTCATCAACATATCACCATCCACGATATTTGACAATACTAGGCATATATCACTGCGTACATTGAGCATATCCTTGTTCAACGATCATTTGACCAACATTATTACCATCCGCGAAAATCTTTACCATCGCAAACGGTACCACAGTACAACCTTGATCTCCAAATAGCTCCCAAGCACTAACTGGTTCCACTTCTATATGTTTTGCACCAGTTAATAGACTGCAGACAGCTGCTTGACCCTCACGACTCCAAACTTCATCATCTTTTGGCTTAATTCCTGCTATCTAAAAGGATTCAGAAATGAATGTTTATATCGCATTTTGCTATATAAAAAACAGTATATATCTTCTTTTTTGAATTCCATATACCTCATAAAACCTTTTATTTTCTTAAAATGTGATAACATGTCAAGTTGGGACAACATAACTATAAGTTAAGAGTGCTTAATTTCATAAACCAAAAATTCGATTACTCAAATAGAAAATCAGGAAACATACTAACCTTACATTTCGCCATCAAAATTTTTCGTAATCCATTTGGAGTTCTGAGATGACGTATATTTGATTTCCGGACAATGCCAAATAAACCAATGTCAACGGCATAGACACGGAAACAATCAGCATCAATACAGCTTGGACCAAGCAGTTGTACGCGTTCCCAATTTGAGTCTGGGCGCAATTTTGCAGCATAGAAACGTCCTGATATTAATTCGCTGAAGGGTGGTGGTGATGGTTGGGCCAAGGAATCTCGCTTTACTGCATTAGTTATGTAGTCCGGGATTGGATCCTGAAATTAGAACAGAACTTTGTTTACTTCTATGAGAATTTCAGATAGAGATTAACAGTGGAATTACAATTTACGACCGAAAAAGCCAACATGCTTTTACAAATATATGAAGTTAGTAAATGATTGTGCAGTGATTGCTTACAACTGTAGTTCCAGAGTGCTACATAGAGAAACGTACAAATGAGCATTGTCTTATACTGATGTTATCGGCATCGAATACAGTCAAAATATGAGCAGCAAAGCGTTTCTTCGGCATATCGCTTAACTCCATGGCAACTAATTCCACTTCTCCGGTGGTCGCTGGATATGGCGGCGATGCTGGTATTACTTTTATCACATTCCTGCAATTCCGACTAGGAAATTTCATTTTAGAGGAGCGACCATATTTAATACGTATTATCTTGCACCGCAAATCTATCATTTTATTATAAATACAAAAGCATTTATCTTCCCTTTTATTATTTGAACAAAATATATTGCATAAAAAACATGTATTCCACTTTGTTGATATGCATTTACAAATGCATCAATTTTTTGAATTTTATTTTAATAAATTTTCCGTTTGAAAACTTCGTTCAGTGTTGCATATAACAAATACTTTCCATATTTTGATGTGCGTAAGAAATTAAAACCTGAAAGACCTTACTTACATATCACACAATCTCGTATTTTTTGAAAACGATGAAGAATAACATGCTGACGTATTATTTCTCAAAAAATTACTGAGTGCGAATAAATATGAGGACAAAAGCAAGTGATGTTCTTTGCTTAATTACAATCAAAATATTATGAAATTTACGGGTCGTCAGAATAACTTTTGAAAATTTCCTGAATTCATTGAAGAAATTTACTGTTCATGTTCTTTCCGGTCGTTGATCCATATAGTTGAGCTTTGAACACTGTATTTTACTAAACCATTTTCGATATACGCGGATATGAATCGTAGCTAAAAAGCTGAACGCACGCGAGGTTAGAACATAAAATGCTGTGGACATCGTTTTCTCTTATATTACTTTTATTTACTGATATCTTTTCAAAGCAGGAAGACATCATCAAAGTTTTTAATGGCACCAAGCGCACTGTCTAGAACAAACACACTTAAAATACGTTTTTCAGCCTAACGTATTATTACTCAATTTTGAAATTTCAAGTAAATAAAATTATGTGATAGGAGGAAAATGCCATTTCGGTAACTTAAAATCCCAAACAAACCAAAAAATTTACTGCTTCATATGTTAGCTTGCAATAAACTATTTAATTCAGTTATTTCGGAGATATAATCTCTGATGAAATTATTGAATGAATAGTAGTAATAAATAAGCTGTACATATTGGTCTTATAATTAATGCTAGTCAACAATTTCATCTAATTTGTTTACGAATTTTACAACTCAATTTAGTTTCAAAAACAAGCTATACCGGTAACGGAAGCTGAGTATGGCAAGCAGTTCGCAAAATACACAGCGATGGAGCATTATCGTACTTTCTGTCCAAAGTAATAATGAACGCATAAATGGGATATATTCTTGGGAGCGCATATTCTGCACGAAGACGTCGAACTGTTGCACCGTTCACATGCACCACTCGGCCGTTATCCAATAATGTGAAATATTCAGGAATCTATTCAAAAGAAAAAAAACAGTTCCATCACGAACTGTTCATATTCAGTGATAATGATGAAATTATTTTCTTTTTCAGTTTTAATCAATAAAATCTTGAATGAATTTCTCCACTGTGGAATTTATCGTTAAAAAAATAAAAAAAGGAAATTTAATTTCCTTTCAGGAAATTAAAAAAAATAAAAGACTTGCAGGTATCAGGAAATTTAATTTCCTAGTAGTTATAAACTTCGATTATAACGAGATGTATCAGCGAAGGGACAGTTTTCTAGCTTTTACTCACTTTTAGCAGAGCTCGATACCAATGTCCATCCGATTCACGAACTGCATAGACACCACCAACTTCGGGTTCTGTCACTGGTTCCCCGGCGGATTGCCCTTCATAGTGCGAATCCATTGTCGATTGCAGCAGTTCGAAATTATTTCTTGTACCGGCCAACTGTACATAGACATCGGCCGAGTCGTTATCACATTTCATCACAATAACACTAACTGTTGAAGGACAAATGATCGGTTCGAATGATAATATAGATTTCATCTGAAACTAATCCAAAAAAAAAAAACTCCAGACCATAAGTTATTATTATCATTGCTATATACTACTACTACCACTAACAATCCATACGCTATCATCATTACTACGACAATCAGAAAGTAAATTTTCAATCATACTGATATGGATGCAAAACACCTTAAGCGCATAATTTGAACTTGATGTTATCATCACATAGTATTCAACTGTTCAGGCTTTGCTGGTCAAAATACACGCCTTCACTAAGCAACGAGTCATTTCCTGACTAACCTGAAGCTTTCGAAATAAGTGTTTCACCATTCTGTTGTCTAATCTTTTGTAGTCCTACTTTAGTGGTAGACGAATACATTAAGAAACATCTTATCACAACTGGTAAAACATGAGAATTGGAAAAGACTGATTAAATATATGATGCAAAGATCGATTTCTCTGAGAAGAAACATTACCAAAATTTTATTTAACAAAAGATGCCACCTGCTGAGCCAGTTCTCGATCAGTAAGCCTAATTCGAGTTGTTTCCTTTGATTCAGGCGATGCAAGTCCCTTCGTTATGCCTAGAAGAGAAAGATAAACGTAATATCAGCGAGAATTTTCTTTATGACGAGGTAATAAAAATATATTTTAAGATTTCTATTATTTCACCATGCAAAAAAAAGATACCTTTTATCAAAAAAACTTCACAAATACGAAAATCCAAATTTTATACATCAATGCTCTACAGTTGACTGCTATTATTGGTAAAAAGACGTAAAAAAACGTTTAGAAAAAAATGCAAAAACAGTTTAAAGAGGTAATAAATCATACCAACTGCATTATAAAATCATCACAAATTATTCTCAGAACCAGGTAAGGCAATTTAACAAAACCCATTTGTTGATTATGATGAACTATTCTGCCTAAGAGGCTGACAATACTAATCATCAAACCTTCAACTTAACTCAGTCGATCACTGTTATTAAAACAAAATTACTGAATAAACATTTTGAATGAAATTTTTCTGTTCTTGCAAACTACATTATATTATGCAGTGCAAACCACAACATACGACTGATGAATTTGTACATGTACTAACAGTGTAAGAAATTTAATGAGAAAATAAAATAAGACAAAATTGAATTGGAAAGTGGAAAGTGAAAAAAGAAGAGACAATAGTTTGATTTGAATAAAAAGGAAAACAAAAATATGTAAATTCTTATTCTTTTTTCCTTGAATTTCACGAAACAATAACTATTTATATATTACATACATAAATGTACCGCAATGATTTACCTATTATCCTGGAAAAGAATTAAACTTGAAAGCTTCTAATTAATTCTAATCCTCCCTCCTGCTTTCTTTTTCTTCAAAAAAAAAGGAAAACTGGAAGAATATGCCCTGTAAAATAGGGCATATACGATTCAAGGAAAAGTGAATACAATTACTAGCATCTTACTGCAACTGATCATATAGTTTTTATCTTTCATAATAAGCACAATTATGGATTTATTGATAGGCTTAGAGTAGAAAATGAGCTAAATCACATTACCAAATTTATTGACATGCAAAACAGGACAGAATCTCTGGAAAGTTTCATTAAATAAAGGTACATTTAAATGAAAGCAAATCTATTTTCTTACAAAACCTTTTTAGAGTTTTTTTTTCTTTCTTTTTGTTGAAGTATAGCATTAAAGCAATGGAAGTAGAAATGAGAGTTATATAAGTTGTTCCAATTATTGGAAGCAGAGATAAATAATATGAAATGCATTATTCTAGATTTAATTTAGCGTAGATTGTCAACAAATAAAAAAGCCACCTAAAAAAAGGAAATACAAACTTACTTAACGAATTACATGGCGGTTCAATAATAAGTGGTGGTGCATTGCGCTGGCGTGTATAAACCATTGCAATTGGACCACGGTTAACGACTTCAAATTCCTCCGCGACTCGTATGTGATCAAGCCAGTTGTCTGGAAGCAGTGGTCCTAAGCCCCGCATTTCATAGCTGCAAAAATCATACAGTTAAAAAGGTTTGTAATTGCGACATTTGCATCGTATTATTATTAATAAACGCTAATATTACGCTAATATTGCATCCTGTATATTTTGAAAATATTCTAAAAATCTCAGTTGCAAAAACAATGGTTTTTAAGACACATTATCCATCATGAGTGGGAAGATTTAATGAACTGCAAATTATAAAAGCAGAATGTTAAAAATAAATCTTCAACGGAATACCATAAGTCTAGGACTTATAATAAGCAATAGGGTAGATTGAAGAAGGGATATTACTACTATCTCTCTGATAAATCAAAGAACATGTTAAGATATAATAAGAGAACATGTTTATCGTTTCTTTACAAGTGAAAAAAAGTAAGGAATTAAAAAAGAGTTTGCTGATTTTTAAAATGCATCACATTTTTCAAACAAATACAAAATCGAAATTGAGCAACCTTTCCTTAT